GACTACCCTCAAGGTAGAGTTGGAAATGTAGTCTAGGATGCAATCCTAAGACTCAGAATATGACAAGAGACTTATCTTGAGTCCAGAGGACACAGGAATGAGCAGGAACTAAGATGATATTCAAACTGGAGTATTTCTGAGAGTTACAGGAGGTTTATATACTGTAGGTATCATATAGGAATCAGTCAGCAAACACAAAGGCTATGTACGAAGCATATGCAGAGTCTATTAGTAAGTAGGACGGATCACAAATCATGAACACTGGAAATGAAATGTATGTAACAGATCAATAATCAAAAGGGAAACATGGTTAACCAGAGTCCAGAGACAGGGGCAGTCTAAATGGGGTTGGGTGCTGATATAGGGTTTGGATTCCGGAAGGGAGATAAAGATAGATCAGATCATTTGAGATCCGGATCTTGGATCTGGATATCCAGAGAAGCGGATTTAGAGTTGAGAGTCCAGAATGGCATATGACACATATGCTTCGTACATAGCCTTTGTGTTTGCTGACTGATTCCTATATGATACCTACAGTATATAAACCTCCTGTAACTCTTGGAAATACTTTAGTTTGAATATCATCTTAGTTCCTGCTCATTCCTGTGTCCTCCAGACTTGAGCCAAGTCTCTTGTCATATTCCAAGTCTTAGGATTGCATCCCAGACTACATCTCCAACTCTACCTTAGGGTAGTCTACTCCCTGTTAGTTTCTAGTCTGGACTTTGTCCAGATTAGCCTTATCCACTTGTCCAAGTAACATCCAGATGTCCATCGGATTTATCTCATGTTTCAGATCTGGACATCCATTATCCACCCTAGTCAAATCCCAGAAACTCCAGATGACTGTTCTAGCCCCTGGAAATTAAGGGCACATACTCAGGAAAGGGGCACAGCATACAAGCTGAGGCCAAGCCCTTGTGATCTGACCCCCTTGAGCATGCAACCTTAACAGTCAGTTTCCATATTGAAAGTCACCATCACCTGCATTCCAATTGCTGATTCTGCTCTATTTGGTAGGGCAGCTATCGCTCAGAAGGTCAACCCATCAATAATCACCATTATAGACATTGCGACACCACCTACAGGCTACCATGGGCATCACACTATCACAAGCTCAAGCCTCATGGCAGAGAAGAATTGAAGATGAAAGGCTGGCAAAGATGGACCAAGAGATGAATGCAACAGTGTGTTAAGAACCATGCTCAAGGGAGAGAGAGACTGACTCAGAGGGGCTTGGCCTCAGCTCATACACTGTGCCCCTTACCCAAGTATGTGCCCTTCATTTCAGAGGAAGTCTAACGATGGTCCAATGAAGTCCGGAGGACTTCCAGAGGAGCATGGGAGAGTTCTGGAGGAGTGCAGGAAGTGCTCAGGAGAGTTCCCACTACAAGGTAATACTTCTACAGGAAACAGGATGGAAGGATAGGATGTCCGGAGGTCCAGAAGTATGGAGGACAGGAGGGTGGAATGTCTGGAGGTCCAGAAGGAATAGGGGCTACATTGGACTTCATCTGATGTAGAAGCAAACAGAGGTCGACTACCCTTAGGTAGAGTCGGAGAGACAGGAAGTGGACTAAAGTCCAGAAAGAGGGTAAGTGCCAGAAAGGCAAGACTCCAGCTTAGGGAAGCAATCCCTAGACTTGGGACAGAGACATAGGGGACAAATCCAAAGGTCTGGTGTAGAGACTCACACCTCTGTATGCCTGTAGAGCCCAATATTGCAATGTATCTGCATGCAGTTCACAGCATGAACTCACAGCATCATTCCCTATATCATTCCTTCACTCAGCCTATACATGCGTGATCTTCCTGTGCATTGCGCAATGCGCGTGCTACTCTCCTGCGACACATTCCTGCACGCTGTCCACATGCGCTTTCCCACACTTCATCGCCCATCATCCAGGAGCATCCATCCATTGTCCAGCAAGTCCTACTAGTACGTTTTTCACATTTATTCTTATCATGACACCATATTCCATCATGGACCCTTACTTACATATACCTTCTTCATTCCTGCGCCTTACTTGTGTCAGCTCCGCATCATGGGAGTGCGCTTAGTCGCCTTTTGCATGATAGCATTCGCATTTTTGATCACTTAGTTAGCTACCACTTAGTATCCCTTAGCATCCCTCAGCATAGTGCATGCATTTTTGAGCCATAGTCAGTAGCATTTTTGACAATCACACTCTATCATCATCACATTTGTCATCCCCACACCCATCAGTATCAGTCATCATCTTCCTCTAGTCCCCATTGCATTCCTAGCCCTTTGCGCACTTTCACCTATTAGCATGCGACTTTCCCACGCTTCGTGCATCCTACCACTCTCTGCACACGCCTTCGCCTCTGTGCACATGACTTTCCCATGCTTTGTGCAACCTGTGGATGTGTTGCACTCACTTCCCCTTGGGTCAAATGCACTTGCCTTTGCGAAGTATAGCAGCCATAGGCAGAGCTGAGACAACCACACTTATACTCTGACTTGGCATCCCTTGTAGTGCCATAGCTTAGTAGTTGATTCCTTCAACTGGAGCCCACCATGAGGGTTTCTTGTGTTTCTAGGCTCTTTATGCTCACCAACAATCCCCCAAAGTCACCTTTTACCCAACCACAGTCATTCATTACCAGCTTCTCCCATATTCCCCCAGTTTTCAGCCTCTCCTCCTCCTACCATCGCACTGATAGGCCCTTTTCCCACGCACGTCTGGACCAAGCCTCTCACAAACTTAGATCTGTATTCCCCTCGTCCAGGCCATCACTTTGAGCCCTGGGTCATCAGTTTTGGAGCAGTAGTTGTGGAGATATCGAGTTTTCGCATTTTGAGAAGTTGAGGAGAGATAAGGATTTTCTGGGAGTACCAAGGCCTGTCTCATCTAGCTCTCCTGGCCATCCACCTTCACTCAGTGGCTCTGTCCATCACCCCAATCAGCTTTTTGATAGGCCCAGCCCTTGTTGTCCTGCACCATACCCTCTCCTCCTCCTCCCTTTGTGCACTCCTCCCATAATTCCGCTCTCACCAGCCCATTTCTCATTGTGCACCCCTCAACCCTATACTCATTCTGACCGCGTTGATCACCTCTTTCCATCCCGCCTATCCACTCCTCGATACGTCCACGCCCTCGCCCGCTATCCGCACTTCTCGCATTTTCCACCCTTTCCTACCATTTCTCTCATATCTCGCCCATTCCTCCACCAAACCCAGTCGACCCTATACTCATTTCAAAGCTCTCACTCGCCACTTTCCTATCCAGCTACTTCCCATCATCATCCTTGCAACCAATCTCGCATTTTTATCGTTTTTCATCATCATTATATGTCCCCCATGTGCCTAAGCAGTCCACTGAACAAGCGGTCAGTGAAACAGGTGCTGGGGATCATCCATTTATTGTCTTGCCTGACCCTCATACAGAAAAGCGGTTCACTGAACAAGCGGTCAGTGAAACATGTGTTGAGGACCATCAGGTTACTTTTTCTTAGTTTAGTTTAGTTTTGGTTTGCATGAGTAGATGACTGGGGACAGTCATGATCTAAAGCCCCCATGAGATGTAGGGATTTCATATTCTGTGGGCTTGTATAGGCAGATATTGCTTAGTGTTATGTTCGCACTTTTGGTGCTTATGTAATGATCATAGTTTTCACCACCTACCAGCACCAGTCTGAGACAGAGAGTTATTAGCATGATTTCCTATCCTCTCTGAGCACTGAGCTTAGTCCAGAAACCCTTTAGGGTTGAATAGCAGCTAGGCATAGCACATTTAGCCCAACATTAGAAGTCTACTTTCCAGTTCTCTTCTTGTTGTGTTTCCCACACCAGAATTCTGGCCTAGGGAATCCATCCCTAGGCCTTATGGAAAAGGACAAGACTCAGATGGACTGAAGTCCAGAAGATGGTTGGGCAGATCTAAGATGATATTCAGACTGAGGACTCTACAGGAGTTGTACAGGGGTTATATACTAGAGGATATCCAAGAGGATCAGTAAGCAACAGAGTAAGGCTATGTATGAGCATGTGGAAACACATTAGTAAGTAAGACGGAACATAACTAAATGAACTCAGAGATGAAGACTCATACAAGGATCAATCAGCAAGATGGAAACAGAGATAACCAAGAACCAGAAAGGTGAAGATGCCTAAATGGGGATAGGCACAGGATCTTGGATGGAGGGTGGGAATGGTCCAGAGATCTGGGGATCTGGAAGGTAGGGCAGAAACAGGACTGAGATATGTGAGGTGGTGGATGTAGTCCAGAATCTAAGAGGAGGTAAAGTCCAGATGTCTTGCTGGATGGAATGTGTGTAGGGTGGACAGGATAGGGGTGTACATATCAGGCTAGTAGTAAAGATCTGGAGCTCCAGAGCTCAGGGGTAAATCCAGAGCGGAGTCAATCCTGCTGAGGTGTGGAGCACACAGTGGAAGGGGATCTGGGAATGAGTCAGATATGGGGTCTGGAAATAGGTCCAGAAAGCGTGGGAATATGATGGGATCTATGTCTGGCATATGGGATATGACACAGTGATAGAATACAAAGACACATAGATGTGCATATGCATTGTATACATCAGCTATAGGGGCATCAGCAAAACCCTAAGTTAAGGTCCCCCCATTTACAGCACTACATAGTACCATACAGCACTGTAAAAGGGGGGACCTTAACTCAGGGTTTTGCTGATGGGCAAGGATACAAGCTCAAGTCTATATGGATGGCTCATGATATTGATAGCGACCTAATTTGTCCCCAGTGTACAAATTGCTAAGAGCTCAGTTCGAGGGATAGCATAAAGGGTGTAAAGTATTCCAGTCACTTGAATTACATAATTAACTAGGGGTTGGCGTTGCTGACTTTTTACCTTGCAGAGCTCTTTCGCTTAATTTGACTTGCCCACAATGTCAACAGGGCCAAATATCTTTGATTACTTGCCATTCAGACGCACAACATTCTGAGCATGATACAAAAGGCTGTAAACTTTCATATGGGTCCATATTCACCTTCATTAAAATGTCTCTTGGCGTCTTCTACCAGTTCTCACATTCTTTCGTCTTCTATATGAAGATCTTCCAAAGGGTGTCAAAGGGGTCTATGATGCAGCTTAGCGTGTTCGAATTGCTGAAGACTTCCAACACCAAATGTGCTTTTATATTTAGTATGTTTAATTTGTTATGTGCATTATTTATTGTTGATGAGTGTCTTATCAGTCAAACACCAATCTCGCGGCACTCCTCATATCTTCATTCAGACTGTGGCCACTGTCCAAGAAGCCTTTGAGTCTAGTGGGTCTCGAATGATTTATACAGACTCTCCTACCATCCTTGCAGATCAAGTGTTATGTGCAGATCCAGAGTTTAATCATATGTCAGTTAGTTATATGTTGGCGTCTTTTACCCTAATTTATTACTGAGGAATCACTCAGAAAATGGCACGCGACTTAGATACTACAGTGGTGTATGCAGATACACTTCTGTTAGCAGAACAGTTGAGAGATGCTGCTCTTAAAATTCCTCGAGTGGTCAGTTAAGAAATTGGTGCTTGGGCTGTTTGTCTGACAATTAACTTATGGACTTTCTGTGTTCTCTTTTGCCGCATTTTTGATAATGGTCATGTTGTTTGTTCGTTGTATTGTCCACTGTGAATGAAGTCCATGACACCTGTTGTGATGACATAATCTGAGTTAGTCATTTGCTCGTATCTAATTGCGGAATGCGCCAGGCTGTTGACTTTCATACAGAAATGACGGCAAGCAGCTACATTTGTAGAATCGCAGGTCAGACAATCAATTGGAGTCATGGTTCATATTCAGGCGAGTAGTCTTTGTCACTATGCATTTTTTCATATCTTGAACAGGTTTCAGGTATAAATCAATTTGGACACATTCGCACTCTCATATGCTCTGGATATTGGAGCACATACCATCCTTGCATATGCTGTGTGCTTTTGCATCAGCGTGGTTGAAACAACCTCAAGGTTAATTGTTCGCGCTGTTATCGAACTTCGGGCTGTTCATAGCATGGCATATGTGTGAGGGCCAGTGATGAAATGAGTTTGCCGGATGGATTTTAAAAAAGTAGTGTAATTATTGTTTGGGAGGATCGTTCTTGAAGATACTTTGTACCATTATCTCATTCGCCATAATGTAATTCTGTGCAGAATCAGCAATAACGCAGTCTAATTCATTTTGGTGTGTCTGGTGTCAGACAGTTCGCGATGATCACGTGTATATTTTGTGATGTTTCAAGGTAATTGAATTTTCGTGAGAATCGCGATTGGCCAGAAACGTAGAAGCGCGGAATCCGGATCGATCAAGCTCAAGACCTAATCAAACTCACTACCTAGTAGTCCTCATGGGATCTCAGAAGAGTCAAGTAGGTTGGCCTCCAACAACCAGTACTTATTACTCCGGTCAATATTCAATATTCAGTGCCTATCAATATGCACATTTGTGCACCAGCTACGCGCGTGTGCACCCCAGTTAATACTTTAATGTTTATCACTCCAGCCAATATTTCAATGCCTATCATCCCGGTCAATATCCGTTGCCTTGGGCTGACTCTCCCGTGTCTCACTGTCTGCTTTGGTCATCCTTAATGCCATAAAGGCGCAAAGAAATCACCCCAGCGAGTGTCTGATTGGTACAATCCTTCCTCCGACGCGGCCTCGAGGCCATCTTCCAAAGTCCACGGTGTCTGTCTCGATCGCTGCCTCCGGGCCGATCCGATTGAGGATCTAAAGAAGCATAGTAAGGTTAGTGCAACAGTGACTATAATGAAAAACGCACTGAATCCATTAAGTAATCCGTGCTCTGCGGCGAGTTGTCCTACATAGGTTGCTGGTTACCATTGAGAACGGATTGGCATCAGGTGATGTGTTGTGCCAATGATCCGGCCTTCGCGTTACGATCTGTACCTGTTATTTAAACACACATCCTCATTCATTCACACTGATTAGTCTCCCCCATGGGTACTGTGGATAATACGTGCGTATTTTTCAACTTCATATGCATCGCCTAGCATAACTTGCACAGTTTTGGAGCGTTCTTGATCGGGGTTGTAGTCTCTGCTACGTAAGTGCTCTTTTTGAATCAACAATGAGCGTAGATTGGAACCTAAATGTTGCAGGCTTTACGGTGGTGTGTTTTCGCGCTTTTTTTTGCGCTAGGAGCTCACGATCACACAAAGTTACTTGTATGCAGACATGGTACTATATGAGCCGGTATTTCTCAGATCCTTGGTACATCAAACTTTTAGTGGGTTCACGAAGGATTGATGTACGCTGCTTCTCTAACATTATGTAGGTCAGCGCTATATTTCTATCAGACTCGGTCCATCAAGCTCTGATTACACACACTGGTGAGTGCCAGATACAAGATGTGTTTGGTCTGTCAACTGAATATTGAACGGTAGTGTATACGTACCTTGTCACTGACTTTGGCAACGTTGGTGATATCGAGAAACTTGTGTGGAGTTTATCTGTGGGTTGTGTATGATAAGCGCACAATCCTCATCTGAATTTTCATTTGCGTCATAGGTTGAAGTTTTGTTCAATGGTTTCACGGGGTTTATGGTTCAAAGGTCGGTGTGATACCTTTCGAATAGAACAATTCTCACTGATCGTCCTTCCAGCTTCCTCACCATGCGTATCTACCAACGTATGTGTGATCTCTCGCCAGTGGACGGTTGCTTACTTTCAGCCAGTGAGCAACAAGAACATGATTGCAACTGCGTCAGTGCTGTCTCTTGTCATCGCGGAATTTGTCACTGTTATCAGTGAGTGTGCGTTTTTGCTTCTCCTAAATTTGTCCACTAACGTGTACATCCAAAGTATATGTTGCAAAAGCGTAATTCGTATCGGAAATTGTCAAGTAGTAGTCTGGCTGATGCGTCCCTCTTTAGTGTCCAGTTGACGACCTTCACCCAAGCTCCCCAGATTAAGGCATTGTCAATGTCTGTGAACGCTGTAGCAGCTGCCGGAGATCTCCTTATCACCGTCTTCCTCTGCACATTCCTCCAACGGTCTCGCACTGGTTTCCATCAGTCAGATACCTTGATCAATAAGCTGGTGCTGTTCAGCATCAGCACCGGTCTGCTCACCAGTGTTTGTGCGGTCATGTCCCTCATTTCTGTATGTAAAACATCTAAATTGCTCTCTATTTCGTTCCTGACACAGATGTGGCACAGATTACAGTGTGGCCTGATACCTTCATTTACGTCGCATTCTATTTCTGCCTGGGCCGCCGTAAGTACACTGTAGCCAAATAATGTTGTTCACGAGGTCAACAATATCGTTTTCAGTTTACTGCAATTCCCTGCTGGCAACCCTCAACGCACGCAAGGGTATCCGCCACGATTCTTGTGACAGTCATATGTCGCTCTCGCTACACGGAGCTCGGAGACCTCTTAATGGTCCCATCGGCTCATCGCGAATGGTGAGTTCCGCGACTTTGCACAGTGAATATTGCTCATGTGCAACCAGGGGATGCCAAACGACCTTTCAATTAAGATAGATACTGCGCAAGAATACATTGAAGATGAGGTCAGTCATATTCCGTACCAGCACTGTGATCTAGTGCTGATCTGCATCTGCGCCAGTTTCTATCCGCAAAGGACCTTAAAAGTTCTCAGTCAGTTTAATTGCTATGCGGATGAGAATCACGAAATGTACCTATCTCACTAGCTCTTACTCCTAGAAGAGTAAGCACGCTGTGCCTTTGACAGTGTGAAACTTCTTTTTGGTGGTATATTCTTCAGGTAGACTTAGTATATCCGAGTCTTTCAGTCCAATTCATCTAAAGCAACCCAACGCACCCAGCAATCTTCACTTATCCATTTAATAGTCATATCAAATAATGCTCTCACAGAATATATTTCATTCCAACATGTTCGGCCCGTGAACAGGTAGCAACGAGGAGAAATCGAGAAATCGCAAACTTAATGCTACCATTGGTGCTTAGCGCTTATTAATGACCTCATAACTGACCAAATGTCAAGTCACACCAAGGACATGAACGACAGCCATCCTGAGGGTAATTACATCTTCCACAACTCTGATGTGCTCATACGGAGAGCTTTTCAGCGCTGCAGGTCCTGTTTAATTCGCTGGCACTCAAAGGACCGGACACGAGTCCGTCTTCAAAGCTTCTTAACGACGAGGGTCTCTCGATTATAGACATCACTGAATCTGCTGCGGATATCAGTGATGTTTACTCTCCGGCAGCTTCGTTTCATGAGCCAGATCTCACACCAGAGTCATCTCTATCTGTTTTGGAGAGGGAACAGCGCCGTCGCAAACGAGATCACATCTTGGACATGTTTGAAGAAGAGGAACGATTACAATTGGAAAGAGACGAAACAGAGGAAAGGGAGAAGTGGATAGAGGATATACATAAGCGCAAGGAGGCCGCGAATTTTTTTGCCAATCCCAGCTCGCCGGATGAATCATCGCAACACAGGTCTTATACTTCGGGCAGTGACTCCGATGACGAATCGGATGAGGGCCTGCTGGAAGAGGAATTTGATTGGGATTCTGCCCAGCACCACCGAGAAGTGGCCCTGGAGTATTATAAGAAGCGTCATGTTATTGGTGTAGAGGCTGCCCGAGCGATGACTTCGCACACGCACGACGATGAAGAATCGAACCAAGGGGTGAGTATTTCTCTTCTTGTGCAGCCCCGCAATTTCAACAAGTCGACTACAGGATATTACCCCAAATCAACGCCCGAAACCCAGTGTGTCGCGCTTCAGGGCTGATCGTATGGCCGTGACATATGACAAATCTACCTCTACTTCGCTTGGTCCATCACTTATCCCGGCCTCTCGACAAAAATCCTTGCAAGAAGCTATCAGGTTGGGAAAAGTTGAAAATAATCATCTTGTTGGCGGCGAGGAGGGAGAAAGCGGGAGCGAGGATGAGGCTGTCCGAGAGGTCTTGGAACTTCTGAGTAATGGCCGCATCCATGACGCTGGTCGCGGCGTCATGCGCTAGACCATGACAGAATTAAGTGCAGGTTCTGCGGAGAGCGTGGCAGACGCAGTCACCAGCGTTCCGGGAGGAAATATATCTAGGTTCAAAAGAGAGGATGTAGGATGTATTCACAGGTGTTTGAAGTATAATGACATAGGGTATTGGCACGGTGGGCTCACGTCCTTTCTTCATGAGGTTTGGTACAGGATGTCTTAAGAGGTGACTTATCGACATCAAAGCACTTATTCAGAATCAATTTGGCACAACATCCAGATGAGGAACGCGACTTGACGCGTTCGTTGATCAATTACCAAAAACGCGCTTGTCACAGTGTACATGTCACACATGCCACGGTGTTGAAGGCGTTCTCAGATTACAGCAACAAATAGCCGGCATCGGCCAACACGCTTGTTGACCGCAGACGCCAACATGTCTGCCATGGACGTAGACCAAATTTATCCAAAGTCATCTCCCGTCAAGCCTATAAAACGCGCTCCAGTCACGTACGGAAGGCGTAGGGACACCCAGCCTGAAATACGCGACTCTTCTGTAACACTCGCCGACCACAACTCTCCTCGTGTAGAATCGGAGCCCTTAGGCGGTAAGGAAAGCGAGTCCTCCCATGAATTGGCGCTCGACACGCTACAAAGCTCACAACCCTCTTCAACGACTTATACAAACGATAACGGCATGGTCGATGCCAGTCCTAAACATCAGTTTGGCTGGAGAGCTCAATTGAAAGCGCTAGACGAAGCCTTCGATAATGACCAGGAGCCACTTACACAGCCTCGAGTTGCTGAGCGGTCGTCATCGTCGCCACCCTTTCAGTCTCAACCCTTTGTGGAGAATCAAATCACTCATGTGGATGCCACGCCCTCTTTCTCCAGTACCACAAAATTCCGATGGGCTTTCTGATGGCACACTGCTACCACATACAAACGACCCAGCTGCCTCCCCAGTTAACGAGTCTCTTGAAGATTCGCCGATTATTTCTCGCAAGGTCAGACGCTCGAGGAACTGTGTCGACTCTGATTCTGAGCGTGAAGAATCCAAAAATTCATCCTCGGTATCGCCTGTTCATCATCCAATTAACACTCCTCTGCTGCGATCTCCTCCCACACCTTCGACATCAGAGCTGGAAATGCCTTTAACGAGGCCCAAGGTTAATAAAGGCAAGGGGAAGGCGCCTGCTCGGGATGTCCCTCCGCTTCGGTTCGAGAGTGAATCAGTTTCTACGAGTGCCCCGTCAAAGAAGGGTAGCAAATCCAGACGGAAGGATGAATCCGTGCGCCCCAAAACCAAGGTAGTTTGGCCTTTGTCACACCTATTCTATTTCTCACTCATACGATACATAGGCTCCGACTAAAAAGGACCTGCGTGAAACTGTTTTGGAGAGTTCGCGCATTACTGCGAGCAAGAATGTCCAGGTGGCGCGTACTCAGCAACAGAGGCACACCGTGCATCGACTTTTTGAGCTGGTCAAGTGGGTGACGCTAGGTTTTTGTCCAAGAGAATGCCTGCTGACTTTGGCCAAGGGATGAAGCTTTGCGTAAGGAAAAAAAGCAGCCTGAGCCTCCCTCAGATCCAATATCTATTTTTTCCTCGCCTTCTGTGCCACCTGCTGCTGAAGCACGAAAAAAAATCACGCAGGACGCATCTTCATTCGGCGTACCTGGAAGTTTGCTTGGATCACCTACTATCGTGCGTCCCCGTGCACAAACGCCTCCCAGAAATCCTCCGCGGCGTGCAACTTCTCAGCCACGGTCAGTGCCATCTGACAGCAGTGACGAAGAGATGCCGAATCTCACCGACCTACTGAGGCAAGAGCAAGCCAAACGCAAAGAAGCTGACGACAAGCGTGCTCTCGCGGAGTTGAAGCAGCGAGCCCTTCAAGACGCAGCTAGGCGGTTATCTGAGGCCGGAGATAGTGACGATGATCTAGAGATTGTTGATAACAGCATGCATGTGACAGCTCAAGAAGAGGCAGCGAAACGCAAAGCTGACAAGTTGCAACATCTCACTCCTTCGAAGGGGAAGGCGAGACAGCTTGCGTTGAGCCGGAAATCTATACCAGGACCGTCAGGCTCCCGTGCGAAATCTTTTGCACAAGTCAATATGTCCGAGTACCTCAGGGAATCTGCGATGTCGTCATTCGATCGGAAGGGAAGGGGCAAGGACACTAAAGTCCCACTCACCGCACAGCAATTAAACAGAGCGCTCATGCAGAAAGCTGAGGCCAGCAAGCTTGCGATGATTCAGCAGCGAGAAGAGGAGTGGAAACGAAGAGGAGGCAGGGTATTAGAAGAGCCTGTAGAAGCTGGGGAGAACGCGTCATTCAGAGACAGGCTTGATGTATATGTGCAGAAGGGGCTTGAATTAGCAGAGCGCGACGACTCTACTGTTGGCGACATGGAAGTAGACGACACGGACGAGGACGACGCGGATTACGCTCCCGAGGAGCGAGGTTCTGCCAGTCCAGAACCCATAGATTCTGATGGCGAGGGCGGCAGCGATCAGGAGAACCAATCAGGTCCCGATGTTAATGATGGTGCAAGTGCAAGCCAACAGACGGACGTTGAAGATGAGGAACGCCAAGTGCACAGGCGCAATCTTCGTCGTCCCTTAATGGTGGCTTCCGACGAAGAGGATGATACTCCTAGAATTCTCGTGCCAGATTCCTCGATGCAAGACTTGGCCTCTGACGCCATGGTGACACGCAGCTCAGAATCGGATCAAACGGAGGACGAGAATGACAAAGAGAACAGTCAAAAGTTGATGTACGACAGAAGCGAGGACAAAGAGAATAAGGCTGTTGTTCGACACTCGCCTTCATTCGCGAGACCTCCCTTGGGTAGCAGGCCGGGGTCGCTTCTTGACATCGAAGATGCTGTTCACACGAGATCATCGTCCTCAACATCGTTGGGGGGTTTTGGTGGTCCCTCCGATTCTCCCGAGCAAGATTTACGTGCGCCGTTGAAGGAGATTGCTCAAGATGACTCGTTCTCGGGTTCCCCAAGCTCAAAGTCCCCGTTTACCACCAGACTCCTCCAATCTACATCAAAGCATCCGACATCCCCACCGGGAGAATCATTTTCCGACATTGAGGACGAGGAGAACATGGTTAAGGGTTTCGAACCCCGCACACTACTACCTTCCTTTTCTGAAACCCTGAGCAAGAATAGTCCTGCGTCCTTTGTACTTCAGGATCCTCTCGCAAACGGAGGAGGTTTTTCGCAATTTTTCTCAGATGAAAAGGTTTGCAATCTCCTTCGTTGCAAGTCAATCTAGAGAATGATGTGTGGTGGTTATTTTAGGACGAGGGGTCCAGCTTCAAGGAAGGGGACTGCAATGAGCTCGCTTTGTCACTTGATGTTGGACTGGAGCCTGCACTAGAAGTCAGCAGTACCCTGCGCAGGAAGGCTGACAATATTTTTGAAAAAGAGCAGGAGTATGTTGTGGAGATTGCAAACGACCAACAGAAACAGGACAATAACCCTGAATGGTATATCACAGAAAACGGGTGAGTCCATCAAAGTGGCATCTAATTCATTCCCGGAAAATTGATTCGTCCTCTCAGGTTCTTGACTCAGACATCGGGGCCTCATGCTGAACAATATCGCATCAAGTCTTTCCAGAGATCACCACTTCCGGCATCTCAAACATTGATGGGTGATTTAATTCCATCATCGAGTGAGCGTGCTCCACTCCAAACGTTGTCCTTCAAGGCAAGGGAAGAATCACCAGATGTGCGACCTCTTCTTCACCGACTAAGGCGGCGCAGTAGCTCGCCATTGGAGAGGAAAACCGCCGTACAAGATGACGGCTCCCTTCTGCCCCCTCTACTTATTTCTCAGCTGCCGAAGAGAAACGCATTTGATGTTTTAGGAGGGCATCCAAAATCTAATGCGCCCAAGCGAAAGCTGGAGAAGTCCGAATTCGTTGCTGCGGAGGCCGAGGAATCAGACGAGGACGAACTAATTGGCTTCGGACCTATCCAGAAAGACGATGACGAGGAGGCAGAGGATGATGATGACGAGAAAATTGTGGAGGGTCTTGTCGATGATGCGGTCATGGATGTCGAGACAGAAAGAGCCGATTTAGTCCAGGAGAAGTTCAGGTGCGCATTCAAAGCAGACTATCGAGACAGCCAGCTGAATTATGCATAGAGAGCATGAGGACGAAGATGACAAGAAATTGGAGAAGCTTCACCAGGATGCCATTGATGGTAAATTTAGAATGAAACGTCGCGACCGTGGGATCGGTTTTGAAGAGGATAGCGACGATGACGAGGAGGACGAGAATAATAGGCGGATACGGCGGGGTATGAACAAGAAGCGCAAGATTGATGGTGATACCCTCGAAGACCTAGGCAAGTGGTCCAACCATTACAACTCCATTTTAGAAGCCAACGTCTTCCTTCATAGGAAGAAATCAAGAAACAAAAGCATTCTACGACGCATATCAGCATGATTTGATTGATGACGACCTTGAGTTCGCCCATTTGCAAACAGATGCGCGAACGGTTAGCGAAGATGAAGATGGGGAGACGGGGGAAATGGTATCGATCGAAGACCTAAATGCTGAGCTAAGGGAAGCGGCCAAGAAGAGAGAGGTAAGCCGCATGGCGCTCTTTCTACCTTTGATATCACTGACCTTCGGTAGACTTTGGAAGCTCTAGATCCGGAGGACACATCATGGATCGACGGGGTGGACGAGGAGAACGATAACCATGTTCCTGTCAAAGTGATGGCGGAGCGCTCCAACAATGCACCTGCAAAACGACCCGCACTGCCCCACACAGACTTTGGTCTGGAGGTCTGTTCTGCGCTCGATTAAATTTATTGTAATCTGACAGTCTCCTTTGATAGCGCCCAAACCGAATATTGGAGAATGACAAAGAGAAAACAAAATTGCGTTCATGGGCAAGAGGTCAAGGCGACGGAAATCAGGGGACTGGTCGGTCTGTTGTTGGTGCAGCCATTACAGGACACGCCAAGGCCAAAGTCAAGACAGGCGGCGGTTCCTTGAGAACAACCCAAGCAGCCACTGGAAGCAATTCTGTCTCAAGCGCACCCGTTCCTCGCAAACTGGAGAAGGGGCGAAGTATGCTTTCCAGTGTGTCCGATAGGAGTAGTCGATTTGCGTAGTATCTGTTGTTAGCATCTTGATTCAGGCTCAGTCCTATGCGTTCACCATTGTTGTTCCTCCAAAGGTCTATTCTGTACATTTGTTTTCCACCCATAGTAACCTGCGACATCACTGCAAAATAAAGATGCAAACAAAGAACACGTATGTTCACAAAGCAAAAGTCTTGATGGAAGTACAAAGAGAGGCATGTACACCCAGAAAAAATACGAAAAAAGTATATATCTATAAGTGATAAGATGGGTATCACGGAGATATAAATAACGGGTGATAAGGCTTGTACAGCCCGAATAAGTGTCAGATAATTGAAGATGCTTGTAATTTAGTGGTATTGATTTCCAAAGTTTCTTCCAAAACGAACCCAGGACGCGCGGGGGCGGGTGGGCTGGATGAGTCCGAGATTTCGTGATTGGCGTGTGGGCATCGGGGATCTACGTTTGCGCGTACTTGTTTGAATCTTTTTTTGTTTGAAAGGGTGAGTTGGCGGAAAGCGAAAATAAACTAGATATATTCACTTTATGCCTCAACATAATGAGTTTGGCCATGCACGCTGGAGGGCCTGATTCTCTAAATGGATTGCCTAGGAACATTTTAAAAAGGCAGCCAACACAGCTCAAACATGACGTACGGGACGCAACGAGAGCTAAACCTGACTCGTGGGCATCAAGAAGGTCGTCACCAGCCATGATAGACCTTCTGACTGCAGGTGAAAATAGACATAGCAGGATAATAGCGGAGAGAAAGGTGACGAGAAACATGGAAAACATGGCGCCTATATTTAATGGAAGGCTCGACAGCGGCGCTGAGCACCAGCAGGGGCTGCGCGAGCGTCGCACGTCGTGAAGGAGAACGGGAGGGGAATAATAGTAGGCGATGGGGGATAACAACCAAAAAGTTCAAGGCTTCTATCAACTAAAGTTACTCAGAACACAGCGCTTAGTCAGCAAAGAGGCGTAATATGATGCCGGCATTAATATTCTCGTCGGCTGTGATTTTATCATGATCAATATTTCCTTTGCTTAGAGTTGTTCTCAGCGTGCGACATGGCCGAGTTGCTATCGACAGCCACCATCACAACGACAGGCCTTCTTTGTAAAGCATTTCTCAACTCAGGACTTTGCTCCATCACAGTTAGCAATCTTCATATACTTTTGGATGCTCTACGGAACGATGAGAGACGGCGACATGGACAGGGCGTGGTGACAGGTGTGTCTTGTAATTTGTCGTGATCAATGTTCACTTATGCAGGTCTAGTTGCGAATCATATTTCCACGTCTGTCTTTCGAGCTTCTCACGCGAACATTCATACTGAGACTTGAGCCTGGTCACAGACTGGATGATCCACTCGTGTGGGGAACGCTCCCGGTGAAACTCTACTTGAACTCCAACACAACGCGGTGGTCGCTTGGTGCATCAGATATAATGTTTACTAACCCGTATGTTGTGTGGAAATAGTCAGGAATGTAGGCGACTGAACGTAAGCTTCGGCCAGGAAGTCTGTTCTCCGCTTTCTTCCGTAAGGGTCAGGTGTTAGAAACATTTCGCGGAAATGGAATCTTCCAACCTTCCGTAGATATTGCCATCAAGCAACTGAATGAAGGGCATTGGGTGTGTGCGAGTTAACCTAACTTCTGTGCCCGCATTAACAGAAATCAGGTGCATCTTTTTGGAGAGGGAAAAGTCAACCAACCACCCGACTATCCGAGGACAAACGGAGTCGCTCGCTTGCCCCGATTCAAATGGGGAGTGTAAGCCACTTTTTCCACCCTTTTAACTTCCAGTCATATACTCAAAATGATCAGTGGACGAATCCTGATGGAAACTGCAGCTCCCCCTCTTGTCATACCGATGTGGCTCACTGGTATGGCATCCGAAACCATCAGTACTCCATCTTCTCTAACAGTGACGTCAGGTTTTGACAAATTGATGCCAGAACACCGCTTGTTTCCGTACAAGTACTTCCCGAGATTAGGTATCAGACTTGGTGTGGTATTTGGCGACCCAATACCGGTCAAGGAAATAACGGCTGCATTGAGTGCGTACTCATATGTGCCACTTGTCACGAAAGATGGTGTCGAATCGAAGCTTGGCGATGAGCTTCATCCGGATGTAGGTCGCACAGCTATGCAAGCTGAAGAGCGGTTTGCGCCAGGATGTGAACCGAAACGACAGATGGACGTGGTGCGGAGCAATGTGACTGCGATCGTCCAACGAGCGGTGGAAGCTTTGGGTCGACAAGTTTCCGGTAACCTTCTCAACAAATCTGGTTGATAATTTATGGGCGCCTAATAATTTACGCAACAATTGTGTATATTGTGAAAATAGTAGCCACTTAGATATGAGCAACGGATTGTACACCCCGGTTTGAACATGGTATGTAGGACGCAATTTGCATAGGATACTGTAATGAGCGAAGAATGTGGGTGTAGCTTTACAACGTGAATTTCAATCACTTGTGGCAGGTTGTCCTGGACAAAGTAATAAACTACCTAGATCAGATTCTCCCGTGTAGTACCAAGTACAAAGAACCTAAACACGGTTGACTTGAATTGAACCTCTGCTACTTTGAGTGGTGAAAAACTCACCATCATGGCATAAAATGACAACAAAATGAATCCCTCTGCCCAGTTTGTTTTACTGTCGGCAGTTACGAAATTGACAAGGAAGCAAGCACCTAAGAGTAGTGCGACTTCAAAGAAATCTGATGGGCTCTTCAGCTTTGGTGGGCAATAGCATCATACTCGCCGGTAACGCACCAAATAGCAAGTTGAAAGGCTTTCCGGTCCACCAGCCAAGCAGAGTTAGGAACGGCATCCAGAGCAAGATGAACTGAATGCTCAAGTCGATAGCTTCAGCTTTGGCCAGAGTATTGGGTGGTTCACCGGGATCCTTGGTCTTAGACCATACTCGGCGAAGAGCCCTGTGGGAAAAGTAGCCTGCTGCAACGACACCATCCGCTGAGAAGGAAACAAAGGGTAAGAGGACCAAGCCGAACCACTCCGACGTGATGCCGGTAACACCCCTCACAGGCTCGATGCTGTCCACCAACTGCTGAAAGTCAATGAATACAGACCTAGTCGTTCGACAACACTTACCCACTCCGAGGTTACAGCTACAACTGCAATGTTCATAATCAGGAAGCAGATGCAAACCCATTGGTTAACCTCAGGCTCCTCTCGTTCTAGTTTTTCCTCGTAAGCCTTGAGCGGGGCGGGTGTCAAAGAGTGGGTTAACGAGCTGTTTCCAGCACCAGGAGGGTTGTGATAGTAGATCCGCGAACAGATGTATCTGACAGCAGAGTTAAGTCCGATTCAAGAGAAAGAAAAGAGCCTACATAAGAAGGAGCAACACTGCAAGTCCTCTGCTCATGTTCAAGAAATCGGTTTGGGTGCTGCTACCAAGGTCCGGGAGATCGCCATTGGCCGATATCGTACTGGAAGTGCTACCACTTATAGCTGCATAGAATGAGGCCGGCAATAACAGGGCCAACACCCTGTGCATGCAAGAAGCTGTTATTCATAGCACCAGACGATAGAGAAAAACGTACCCAACAGTAAGCAAGGTATGATTGAGTTGGGTGTGGATAGGGTGCAGGTCTTGTTCCCATATTCGAGCACCGCCTGTCAGAAAAGCGGCTCCAGGAACAAGGAGGAGGTGCAACAGGACCACACCTGCAAGATCATGTAGTTTGTCAATAGTGTGAAATAAAACTGATGTTTTAAGAACTGACCAGTGATAGTCGATTGAAGTAGCTTGAGTCTTGTAAAGTATGTTTAATGACGCCGATGGTTACATGTTAGCCAACGGATTACTTACTCGCACTTGAGCAGGAGTATGATAGCGAGAGTCACCTCAACCGCACTGCAATTATCTAGGCTGTGAATACGAAACGAATGAAAGAGGGTTTGCCTTACTTGTTCAAAGTGATCGTGATCAAGTCACCAAAATCCTTGCCACAATACAAAGCCATCTGTTCACCGCAGTAGTCGAACAAGCACTCGTGCGGTATAATTGCCAAGAAAGAAACTACAAAAGAAAATGAGCGCTGCTGATAGATCATTCGCCAAAAAAACATACGTGCAAAGACAGTGGTATGACTGTCAGGGAGATGACCGTCGAAATGCGCCCACCATGCTACCGGCGTCAGGAGGAGCAGTAGATTGAGCCCTGTGACAACTATGAGGTACTTAACTCGCACAGGTGGTGGAGACGCACATGAACATCCATATATCTTTTTTATACTCTGTATCACACCGACAGGCTTCCTGCCTCGTCCAATGAACCGGTGCCAGGTAGTTTTGAATCTTGGTTTCAGAAGATTACCACCAGTCTCGAGATCCTGAGGATTAACTGGACCGGTTTCTGTGGTCGAGAGCGGATTAGGTGACTGTTGCCCACTGCATTCCTGAGAGATGATTTGACTGTCTGTCATACTGGTGCTTTGTCGAGCATGGGTAACCCTACGCTCTGCCATGGGCTAAGTACACTAGAAGGACTCGGAATAAGGGAATTTAACTATGGTGTGATCCTTGTACCTCATTATTATAAAGGGCACGTGTAGACGAGGCTGAGCCTGGTAGTTATGTGAAGGCTCGGAGTCGCAAAACGATACTGCCGGGGTACATGGGCTTGGCGTGATTCGGATCTGAACGATGGGCGGTGACAAGTTACATGATGAGTCTAGTACTTGGTTCACGTCACTCAATACAGGCCAAAGCGACTCGGACAGTCACGATTAACCGTGCCCATGGTCAGCCAGTGGAGGCTGAGTGCAGCTACAAAGAGCTACAAAGCCTATCGCAAATTGCAATGTCACTGAAGTTGTTCGCCTCCGAAACGGTATCCGAACCGTACCTCTTGTGTAGAGCCTGCAGGCATGCGTGGGTAACCCTTGGCTGTGGTCATTGATCTCAGCTGATCAGGCCTGCGGGTGCATTCCAGATTAATTTAGAACTGTAGTCACACGGTAGACTGGTTTGCAGTCTCGCGTTACACCCCGTCGTTGGGAGTATATTCTGTCACTTGGCTTGGCCTCTTAGTGATCAACATTCTGACCAGCACACGAACGCATCATCGTCCCACGAGATATCCAGATCCCCTTATTCCCAAATCCAAGCCTATCCCTGTACATGCGTGCAAGGTGCCTTCAAGCTTGTATTTTACATAAGTAAGTCGAGAATAGAATTTGCTCCAACTTCTATGCCAGCCTAGGCCTTGGACCTTGGACTATATGCAGTTGCTACTACGGAGACTCGGGACACGTTCTAAATCAAATGCGTCCACTATGCATTGTATCCAGTATTGTTCATCCAATTGCTCAGCACTCGAAGAAGCACCAGTGACAACATCGCGTCGCGATGCTAGTTCCATCCCCCAGACGAACCTTCAATGATTCTTGAACTCCGGTCAGAAATGATGGCATCGATTGACCGAACAATGATATCTAGGATAATGGCATGATGTGTGATTCTGATGTAGGCTGCCCTAGCTATACCGTACAGAATTCGGAAGACAGTCGTTCTTTCCAATCAGAGGTAGCGTAAACATGCATATTGCAGGAATTCGCGAACCACTCCAAAGTCACCGGCAAAGGTCCGGCAACACATCTTTGGCGCCCATCTTTCCATCCCTCCGTTAATAAAGATTAATGACATATGGTTGATGTCAGTAATGGCAGCCATGTTCTGATCAACAGGGGTTCTCGGGTCCGCCGACGCTAGGGGATCATATCATGCACAATACTTTGCGGCAAAATTGCGTTTGGGGCGTGCGCAACGCCCTACTTAGCAATCCGGGCTATCCTCTTGCAAGGTTGTTTCCGACCCAGAGTGATATTTGCGAGATGTAGGAAGGAAGGCGTGGTCAACGATGGTGTCCATGACTTCACAACGCGCCATACCGCACGTTTGGGCTTCAGGGGGCCTGATTCCCTAAGATACAACTTTGATGGTGACGTCTATCGGTGATAAGTAGGTGACGGAAGGCAATGAAAACTCCTGAATTGCTGTTCGCTACGCATAGCATCGTAAAGAGAAATACATCTGATTGCTGCTGGGTTGCTCGTCTTGTGCACCGAATTCTAGTTTGGTCCCACTTGCTACCAACATGTAGCGAAATCTTCGTCCATCTTGTCTTCCAAAAATGCTTTTAGAGTTGTAGCACAGTCCAAGCGCGAGATGTCAGCGATCATATATAAGATGCAGAGAAAATCAGAGGCGGTCGACCGGTCGAATGTTCCCCACTGTTGTCCATTGTCTAAATTCCACAAACATTCTAGGCTCGACAACGCGCACCATGAGCACTTGAGAGGGCGCCAAGCACGTTCTGTGCAGTTGGAGAGGCCATAAAGTCTGCTTGCCTGTTTCACAAAGAATCCGAGGGACAAGGGAAGTTTTCGAGCGTCTTCGAAGCAACTAAACTTGATAGCTTCATCGACCGTGTCTTGGTGGAATGTATGGATTGGGTCAGTTGAGCTTCTGTGTCAATGCACAGTCGAATTTAGCACTGCCATCAACATTCAACTTCGGCTCCACTCCCGCTGTTTCATAAGGCACGCTGATGGGTGGCGCCATCTTCATATTTGCTCAGATACATTTCGCCCTTCCAGTGGTATTGGGGGGCGATCAAATGGCATGCCAGCCACGGGGATAGGGTTCACAATCAAGCTTTGCTATAGCATTTAATTGGGTATAAGTACGGTCACGGAAGAAACGTAAGCTCGTGCTTGCCTCCAGACGACCCCGCACGTGCTCGATATGTTTAAATTGAGTGGTATGGTATCTTTTTCGACGTAATCCACAGAACTGAACCAAGGATGAGCATGAAAAGGTCAAACAAACGTCGTGCAGATCCAGGAAGTATCCAGACCACGATTAGCTAACGCAAAAAAAAACGCTTGCAAGAGGATAAATGAAGACCTGGAATAAGACGAGGGGCTTATGTTTCAGGATAGACCAAGTATAGATCAAATTTTACATTTTGCGAGTGTGCGAATGACGTCGACATTTTTGGGAGCTGCAGCAGTATTCGTGTTATGATGACGACGCAGATCGGTTGTAGATTGATCGCAAGCTTGCCATACCGGAAAGGTGAGTGCATTGTATTGTGGAGGGCGGGGACGGTACATTGTAAGAGATGGAGCACAGAGCTGTTTAGACACGACTTTTTTGGCATCTATCTGATCACGCAGCGTGTTTCAAGTTTGCGCCTTTGGCATGCGATAACAACGCAAGACAGACGGGGTAAGGTCTGAGCTGAAGATATGGGCATACCATGTAGATGGAAATGGAATGGAAAGTGAGTACATGATGGTAGTAGGGCTTTTTGAATTCGATTGTTTGATTCCCAAGGTGTTGACCAATAGACCACAACAACCGTCAATAATACTATTATGGCTCTTGTGCAAGTCTGAATGGAAGTCTTGTACCGTGTTGTTCCTTCCCATACCCAGTTTGATACGCTGGGCCATGGATGCTGTTACAAAGGTGGAAGGATGGATCGCTAATTGGAGTAAAGAGGGAGAGTCCGAACTGTGCGTAGCTGCTGCTTATTTTTTGTGGCGCCCAAACCTGACGCCCTTGATTCGCAAGTCGAAATTTCCTCATTTCACCTCACTCGAATCCTTCCGACCCTATTTGCGCAGAGGCTCTCACGACAGCCTACCATGCCCTTCTTTTGTCTGTCCTCGCAACCTGGCAGCTCAAGCAGAATGTCTTAAACGCACAGGCTTTTGTAGTCTTCATCCAGTCTGTCCTCCTTGCACTTCCGTCCTCCTCCTCTGCACGTGCGGGTCCACCCGTGCAAAATATTGTATTCGGAGAGATTCTTGTGGATGTTCTATGGGCTACAGATGCTCAGCTGGATGAGTTCTTGGCAGACGCGAAGTCTGCTTTAGTGGGCTCTGAGCAAGCTTCTGGAGGCCAACAAGTAAAGGACACCCCCAAAAAAGACACTGCGGATGGTGCAGGAAAAGCAGCTCTGTTGAAACATTTTGTCGAACAAGACAAGGAAACCTTAAGCGAGCTCGTCAAAAGACTTCTGGTAAGTACCAGTACACTATTTTACAAGATTCTGAATTTATTCACAAATAGTTCGCTGGCATCATTGATCTTGCCGTATGTCGAGAGCGCCTTGACTTGACTCTTCTTGCAAGTGCTGGTCTATTTTCGGATAGAATGGCGTTCGACAGGAAAGAAATACGAACTCGCACTGGGCTCTTGTGAGTCAAATGTAAACATTGAATCATTAATGTCATCTGATTCTCGTGCACGTAGCTATAAGCAGAACAAGTTCAATCTTCTACGTGAACAGTCCGAAGGTTACAGCAAGCTTTCGGTGGAGCTCACGAGTTCCTTGGGTCCTGCACACTCACATGGCGATGCTAGGCCGGTGGAAAGCTATGCCTCTATCGAAGACCGTGCGCGCCAAGTTTGGGAAAAAGTTATCAGCCTCATTGGCTATTTCGACCTCGACCCAAACCGTGCCTTGGACATCATCTTGGATGTATTGTCGGTCAACGTGGCAACCCACTACACATTTTTCTTGGCGTTGCTCTCATTTTCTCCATGGACCGGACTGTATAGGCGTCCCGCAATGACCACTGCTAGCCGCATGGCTGTCGATCCCGTTACCGAAGAGTTTGGGGATAAGAGCCTAGACGAAGTATTGCAGATTACTGAAGCAAATGCTAGTGATCAGTCGACACCACTATTACAAAACGATAGCGGCACAGAGTCTCGAGTGTTAGCACAGGTGCTTGGTTTCAAATTCTCCCATTACCAGGTTAGTTTTTTTTCGAGATAAATCGGTGCTTGCAATTCATTCGTCATACAGTCCTCAGAGACTTATGAACCACCCCTGAGGAACCTCTATCTAACTGCTGCCATCTTGATCAGGGAGGGTTTTATTACCGTAGAAGATCTTTACCCCCATGTGAGAACACATTTCTGTCAAAGCCCGTTGACCTCCTGACAATGCAACAGCTTACTCCAAGGGATGCAGACATTGAAACATATCACAAGGATTATCTTGCCCAGGTTCAGCAGCGCATCTCTGATGCCAAGATCAGTCAGCTCGCCATGGCAGCTCCTTTGGAGTCTTCTAGCTCAAGCTCGCAACCTCGTGTAGAACCTACGGAAGTCAAGAAGAGCGCCATCGAGTCCAAACCTCCTAACCAAGTCGCTGGGCTGGTCAACGGCCTTCTCTCTGTAGGAGCTTTACGCCCGGCGATCGCTATTCTGACGAGAATTCCTTGGCTTGTTGACGCTCACCCCGAGTTGGCCGACCTGATCCTGAGGGCTCTGAAGTATTCCATTGCTCCTCTGTATAATGAAACATTTGTCCTCAAAGAACGCAATCCGAGTTTCACGCAACCTCGTACACGGTTCAGCGCTACTGGAACACTGGCAGTTCCAATGCGTAAATATCAGCTAT